TTCACTTCCTGCATCTGAAAACATTAAATTGAAAACTCCAGAAAAAAAAAAAAACTTATACATTTTAAATTGCTCACTATCCTGAGTCACTTGTTAAACTTGTGTGGTCTCACCAGGAACATGAATCCTTCCTTTGTCTGGTGTGTCTGTGCTGTATGAGCTAACTGCCCGTCTGTCACTTAGTAACCATCCTGTTTATCGGATAACTTGCAGTACTGCAGTGCTTGGATTCAAGTAACCTTTATTTTATTTAGTAGTGGCCCCAAAGTGCAATAGTAGTGATTTTGGCAATTAGGATATGCTGAAGAGAAGCTGTAAAGTGCTTCCTTTAAGCGAAAAGATGAAAGTTCTCAAGGAAATAAAAAAATTGTTTTTAAATCATATACTGAAGTTGCTAAGATTTATAGTAAGAATGAATCTTCTATTGTGAAATTGTGGAGAAGGAAAACGAAATTCATGCTAGTTTTGCTGTTGTACCTCAAACTGTAGAAGTTAAAGCCACAGTTCATAAGTGCTTAGTTAAGATGGAAAAGGCATTAAATTTATGGGTGGAAGATGTGAACAGAAATGTGTTACAGTTTGGTACTAGCCGTGGTTTTAGCCATCCACCACACTTAATGTATCCCCCTGGGACTACTGTATGGTTTGTGTTGCAAACATTTTCTACCAGGCTTATCTTTTTTTTTTTGAGAAGGAGTTTCACTCTTGTTGCCCAGGCTGGAGTACAGTGGTGCAATCTTGGCTCACTGCAGCCTCTCAGGTTTAAGCGATTTCCTGTCTCAGCCTTCTGAGTAGCTGAGATTATAGGCTCATGCCACCACACCCAGCTAATTTTGTATTTTAAGTAGAGACAAGGTTTCACCATGTTGGTCAGGCTGGTCTTGAACTCCTGACCTTGTGAGCCACTGCACCTGGCCTAGGCTGAGTTTCAATGCTGTCTTTTTCAAGAAACCATGATATGTTTCTCCATTTCTTCAGGTCTTTAAGAAAAGATCTATTTTAATGAATTTTTACAGATTTCTTCTTACATGTCTTTCATGTTTCTTACATTTATTCCTAGATACTTAATTTTTTTTAACTGTGAAAGTAGGATTTAAAAACTTAGTATTATATTTTCATTTTTGACATGAGAGAAAGCTAGCTTCTTTTTTACATATATTGTACCTGACTACTTAACTCTTTTTTTTTCTTTTTTTTTTTTTGAGACGGAGTTTTGCTCTTGTTACCCAGGCTGGAGTGTAATGGCGCGATCTCCGCTCACTGCAACTCCTGGGTTCAGGCAATTCTCCTGCCTCACCCTTCTGAGTAGCTGGGATTACAGGCATGTGCCACCGTGCCCAGCTACTTTTTTGTATTTTTAGTAGAGATGGGGTTTCACCATATTGACCAGGATGGTCTTGATCTCTTGACCTCGTGATCCACCCACCTTGGCCTCCCAAAGTGCTGGGATTACAGGCGTGAGCCACTGCGCCCTGCCCAACTACTTAACTCTTTGTTCTATTTTCTGTATACTCTTCCCTGTAAGTTTTCCTATAGTTACCTTTGTTCTGAAAGAGAGGGAATTATTTTTTCTTCTTTTTTCTGACTAAATAGTCTCTTGTTTTTAGGGCTCTGGACATAGGCTTGTGCTAGGAGGGCTATAGATGAATAGAAGCATGAGATATCATCTTTGAGGCCTTGCAAGGGAACATAACCACCAAATAATCTTATTTCTGTGGGAAATGTTGTTCTAAATGCCAAAGTCCAAATTACAAAAGACTTTTTGAATGCAGCTTGTTCAAAGAGAACTAGATTTGGGCTGCCCTTAGAGTGTAGACTGCTTTTAAATTATGGAATCTGTTTGAATTTCAGGAGCGTGAGGATCATCCCAGGAGAGGACGGGAGGATCGGCAGCACAGGGAACCATCGGAACAGGAACACAGGAGAGCCAGGAACAGTGACCGGGACAGACACCGGGGCCATTCCCACCAAAGGAGAACGTCTGACGAGAGGCCTGGGAGTGGGCAGGGTCAGGGACGGGATCGAGACACTCAGAACCTGCAGGCTCAGGAAGACGAGCGGGTGTTTTATAATGCCAGGCGACGGGAGCATCGCCAGAGGAATGACGTTGGTGGCGGTGGTAGTGAGACTCAGGAGTTGGTTCCTCAGCCTGGTGGTAACAACAAAGAAAAAGAGGTGCCTGTTAAAGAAAAACCAAGCTTTGAACTTTCTGGGGCACTTCTTGAGGACACCAACACTTTTCGGGGTGTAGTCATTAAATATAGTGAGCCCCCAGAAGCACGTATCCCCAAAAAACGGTGGCGTCTCTACCCGTTTAAAAATGATGAGGTGCTGCCAGTCATGTACATACATCGACAGAGCGCATACCTGCTGGGTCGACACCGCCGCATTGCAGACATTCCAATCGATCACCCGTCTTGTTCAAAGCAGCATGCGGTCTTTCAATATCGGTAAGTAACATGGAGGAAGAAGCTGTAGTGTGAGCAGAAACAATCACTGGGTTTGTTAGGATTACTAAGATTTTTGTTCATGTTTATGTAGAAGAATCCCATACCCCTTCTATCTTATCTAAAGAGTATTAATTTAACTGCCCTTTAAATAATTGCTTACATATTTATAAGAACATTAAACTATTATTTTTTATTTCTTTGAGATAAGGTCTCACTTTGTCACCCCGTCTGGAGTGCAGTGGTGCTAACACAACTCACTCTAGTGGCAACCTCCTGGGCACAAATGATTGTCTCCTGCCTCAGCCTCCCTGGGACCACAGACATGTGACTCTGTGCCAGCTAATTTTGAGCCTGGATCTTGATAGCTTGCCTGGGACATCTGTGATGATTCTCACAACAGTCCTGTGAGGATAGGGCAGGTTTTTGTTTCTTTGTGTGTTGGGGGGTTGGGGGTTGAGATGGAGTTTTGCTCTTGTTGCCCAGGCTGGAATGCAATGGTGCAATCTCAGCTCACTGCAACCTCTGCCTCCCAGGTTCCAACAATTCTCCTGCCTCAGCTTCCCAAGTAGCTGGGATTACAGGTGCGCGCCACCATGCTTGGCTAATTTTATATTTACTTTAGTAGAGATGGGGTTTCCCCATGTTGGTCAGGCTGGTTTCGAACTCCTGTCCTCGACTGATTCACCCGCCTCGGCCTCCCAAAGTGCTGAGATGACAGGTGTGAGCTACTGCACCCAGCAGGTTTGTTTTGTTTTGTTTTTTGTTGTGGTGTTTTTTTTTTTTTTTTTTTTTTTTTTTTTTTTTTTTGAGACAGAGTCTCCTTCTGTCACCCAGGCTGGAGTGTGGTCATGTGATCGCAGCTCACTGCAACCTCTGTCTCCTAGGTTCAGGCAATTCTCCTGCCTCAGCCTCCTGAGCAGCTCAGACTACATGAGTGTGCCACCATACCCAGCTAATTTTTTGCATTTTTAGTAGAGACAAGGTTTCACCATGTTGGCCAGGCTGATCTTGAACTCCTGACCCCTCATGATCCACCCCCTTCAGCTTCCCAAAGTGCTGGGATTACAGGCTTGAGCCACCACAGCCAGCCATTTTTTTTTTTTTTTTTTTTGAGATGGAGTCTTGTTCGGTTGCCCAGGCTGGAGTCCTGTGGTGCAGTCTCAGCTCCCTGCAATCTCCACCTCCCAGGTTCAAGGTTCAAGCGATTTTTCTGCCTCAACCTCCCTAGTAGCTGGGACTACAGGCACGCGCTGCCATGCCCAGCTAATTTTTGTGTTTTCAGTAGAGACGGGGTTTCACCATATTGGCCAGGCTGGTCTCAAACTTCTGACTTTGTGATCCCCCCATCCCGGCTTCCCAAAGTGTTGAGATTACAGGTGCAAGCGACTGTGCCTGGCCCATTTTTTTTTTTTTAACCTGGCCGCCTGACTTTGAATGGACAGTATTTATATCCTCATTTGACAGATGAGAAAACTGAAGCCCAGCAAAACCAAGTGACTTGCCTAATAAATGATCACTATAGTACAATGGGCCCCAACCTTTTTGTACCAAGGACCAGTTTCATGGAAGACAGTTTTTCCATGGACCAGTGGGGATGGTTTTGGGATGATTGAAGCACATTGCATTTACTGTGCACTTTATTTTCTATGATCACATTGTAATATATAATGTAATAGTTACACAACTTACCATAATCTAGAATCAGTGGAAGCCCTGAGCTTGTTTTCCTGCAATTACACGGTCCCATCTGGGGATGATGGGAGACAGTGAGAGATCAGGCATTAGACGCATAAGGAGCACACAACCTAGATCCCACCTATGCACAGTTCACAAGGGGGTTCACGCTCCTGTGAGACTCTAATGCCACCGCTGATCTGACAGGAGGCAGAGCTCAGACAGTAATACAAGTGATGGGGAGCAGCTGAAAATACAGATGAAGCTTGGCTTGCTTGCCTGCCGGCCCACTGCTCATCTCTTGCTGTGTGGCCCAGTTCCTAGCAGGCCACAGTCCCTGGGTCGGAGCTGAGGACCCCTGCCGTAGTAGAACTCTGCCTCAAAGATAGCTCCCTTGACTCTGAAGTCTAAGTCCACCGTTTTTTTCCCATTTGGACAGGAACTAAAATATATTGAAATATAGGTTAAAGAAACATTATATTGATTATAAAGAACAGGAAAAAATGTAGTTTCTTTTTTTTTTTTTAAATAGAGACGGGGTGTCACCATGTTGGCCAGGCTGGTCTTGAACTTCTGACCTCGTGATCCACCTGCCTCAGCCTCCCAAAGTGCTGGGATTACAGGTGTGCACCACTGCACCCGGCCTAAAAAATGTGTTTTCTTAACCACAGCAAGAGACATTGGATTGACTCTGCATTTCCACCTTTTGATCTACTATGCCCACCCTCCAGCAAACCATTCTCACCTTTTCTGCTAAGTATATATAAATTCCCAATTTCCCTTCCCAGGGCCATGCTTTTCCTTTGATTTATTTGATTCTCAAGAATTTTAATTTTAACTGTGGTCAAGCCAGGTTTTTGTTTTTTTTTTTTTAAGTCTCCATAGAGACTGTCAAAAATTGCCAATGCCAACTATATTTCAAGTCGTCATAGCAGGGGGTATTGGGAAAAGTTTTCAATTAGCAATAATCGCACCTCAGATATACCTCATTGGCTATGATACTGCCACTGCGCAAAGCTCAAGCCAGGTTGTTTACATTGTCTAGGCTATTTTAGCAAATAGCTTTAGAGAGGCTGGATGATCTGAGGCAGGACTTTGCTCACAGGTTTCTCTCCTTTTTCTCTGCTAGGCTTGTGGAATATACCCGTGCTGATGGCACGGTTGGCCGAAGAGTGAAGCCCTACATCATTGACCTCGGCTCAGGCAATGGAACCTTCTTAAACAACAAACGTATTGAGCCACAGAGATACTATGAACTAAAAGAAAAGGATGTACTCAAATTTGGGTTCAGTAGCAGAGAATACGTCTTGCTCCATGAGTCGTCAGACACTTCTGAAATAGACAGGAAAGACGACGAGGATGAGGAGGAGGAGGAAGAAGTGTCTGACAGCTAGCAAACTAAGAACACAAACTGAGACCTTTTTCTTCTCGGAAGGCTTTGATTGACTCAGAGAGCCATAGTGCTCTCTGTAATGCCTCTTATTGCCTTAACCCTTTTCCTCTGTTGCTGACCCGAGTGTGTTACCATTTAAATTCACTGACTAATGTTTTGTTGACTTTTTTCCTGTGGCACGTTGGCCACATGCCTGCAGGCATTTGTTTTCAAAACAGTCTCACCAATTACAGCGCATCATGTTTTAGTAGAAGCGTTGTGGTTTTAGTTGGTGTTTTCAGAACTGCTGCCTAGGAAACTATGAACCCTTGGTTAAGGGGAAATCGTGGCTTGTTCTCTTTGTACAGTTACTTTATTTATATAGCTGTTAAACTTTGTGGACCAGGTGTTTTTCTTCTGGGGCAAACCCCTGAGCAGAGAATCTTACTAAGCTTTGGTTATCACCAAACAACCTCCAGTATATACCAAAGCTTTGACCTGGTTGAGCTCTTGAGCTTAGAAGTTGATTTTGCACTTAGTGTTTTGGGGGTGGGAATGTACGCAGTCAGTAAGCATTACTGACTGTTAAACAGATGCTTTATGGCACCTGCTTAATTAAGCCCATGACTGTACAGAAGGATCGTGGTTGCCACCAGTGGGTGCTGATTCAGTGTTACAAGTGACTGAAATTGGCCATGGATCTGTTCTTGAGAGAATTCCTGATTTCTCCATGGAGCATGTACATAACAGTTTTGATTATATTAACTGTACTTCAGTTTTGTGTTTTTATTCAAATGTTACCTCCTTTTTTCCTGAGAAATACACTGTCACTGATGTGACAGGGTCCTTACTTTAATGACGTGTATATGTCTAAAGCAGGTTGTGTTGTTTACATGTTTCTACACATGTCGTCCTTTAAAAAATTGTTCAGAGAGGCTGTATTTACCTTCCCAAGGCTGGAAAGCAGGAGAGTTTCCTAGTTTTCCACCAGAGGAATATGTGTAAGTAGAAAAGTATTAGCTGCTTACATATAGTGTGTATGTATGTATGTATATATGTAAATCGTGTGTTAAAGAGCTGATACTGATTTTCATATGACAATGTTAGGCAAAGGCCTCCCTGCATTTGAAGAGCAGGTTTTCATTTATATGTATTTTTGGGATTAAAAAGTAATAAAATTTGTAAATATAGCCCCATTTTAAAGAGTAATGCTTTCCTAGCATAGAGGACCTATGTTCATAGGTCTGTTTGCTGCTAATGGAGCCTTCTGTCAGTACTTTCGAGATAAAAATAGGTAGCTGTTTAGAGTCTTGTGGGGCAGGTGTGTGGCCTCCAAGTCAGTGGAATGCCAGATGGTGACTTGGGGTGGGTTGGGGGAAAGCCATCTGATGCTTTAATAAAGTTATTAGATGAAAGGTAAGTTGGGCTGGGCACGGTGGCTCACTCCTGTAATCCCAGCACTTTGGGAGACCAAGGTGGGTGGATCATCTGAGGTCAGGAGTTCAAGAACAGCTGGGCCAACATTGTGAATCTCCATCTCTACTAAAAATACAAAAATTAGCTGGAGGTGGTGGTGGATGCCTGTAATCCCAGCTATTTGGGAGGCTGAGTCAGGAGAATTGCTTGAACCCAGGAGGTGGAGGTTGCAGAGAGCCAAGATGGTGCCACTGCACTCCAGCCTGGGCGACAGAGCCAGACTCCATCTCAGGAGGAAAAAAAGAAGTTGAAGGATGTGTTCTATATTGGCCACTGTAACTGCTATTTTCTTCGTTTTGGTATATGCCATAGATCATATGTATGTGCTTGTCTGAAAAGTAGGTTTTGTTTTGATGAACTTTTCTTGTGATCCAGACTGGTTTTCTCTTGAGGATTTAAGCACTAAGCTGGTATCTCACTCTAGGATCTCTTTGTACAGTTTGTGCTGCAGTAGCACTGCTTTGTGGTAGGCTTGGGTTTTGCTACAAACTTGGTAGCATCCTGGTGGGCACTATGATACATGGCCACTTTGCCTACATTTTTCAGTAAGAAGTCCTAATTGTTTAGTCAGTTTTTGCTTTAGCGGAGGAATGACATCCTGGATTAGGAAATTATTTATACCACATATCTGAGAAGGTGTTTTTTTGGTCTTGTTTTCCCTTCCCCTCTTTGAAGAAAGCGTGTCAAAAGACAGTACCTGCCTCTAAAGCAGATATCACCAGCTGACTTCTTATTTAAAGTTGACATAATCCTAAAGCTTTCTTCTCGAATTAAAATTCATTCTGTTTAGAAGCTCATGTTCATCTTGGCCATTTGCAACTTCTTCATTCTCTATCTTTTCTCCACTGTGGCTGGCTTGTCTGCACGTCATTGTGTCAAAATCAAACTATTTTCAAAACAGCCCTTTGCTTCTGAGCCCCTCCCCTGAGTCCTCTGTGGGAGTCCACAGTTCTGCAGAGATACGGGACAGAATCTTCAGATTTTCCCCTTTGAGTCCCTTTCTAGTCATATCCTAATTCCCTCATTCTAACATTGACGAAGGATGGCTCATTAAGTGCAACTGGTGATGTAAGTTTCAAATACTTCTATTGTGTCTGTCAGGTTGATTCTCAGTTGATACAATGCACAGATGGTTGTATTTTTTTTCACATCCTTCCCATTGTGGAAGTTAGTTGTGGATCTGAGGAATAAAATGATGTCATGTTAATCGGAATCTAAATGTGACACAAACAATGTGCTGGCAATGCCTGCTTGCGAAATAATGTTCTGAGCCCACAGTGTTCCTGGGTATGGGAGTTTATATCAAGTGAAAAGTCTGCTTAATTGAAATAGGTTTTGGAGGCCGGGCGTGGTGGCTCACGCCTGTAATCCCAGCACTTTGGGAGACCAAGGTGGGTGGATCACGAGGTCAAGAGATCGAGACCATCCTGGTCAACAAGGTGAAACCCCATCTCTACTAAAAAAAAAATAGAAAAAATTAGCCAGGCATGGTGGTGCACGCCTGTAGTCCCAGCTACTTGGGAGGCTGAGACAGGAGAATTGCTTGAACCCAGGAGGCGGAGGTTGCGGTGAGCTGAGATTGTGCCATTGCACTCCAGTCTGGGTAACAACAGCGAAACTCCATCTCAAAAAAAAAAAAAGAAATAGGTTTTGGAATGTAAAGCTTCATTTGGTCTCTTGGGTAAAATTTCCAGTATATTTATCAAATGAGAAACTTTTAAAAGCAGTTGATTTGTTCACATTTACTCTAAATTAATCCAGTCAGCAACAGTTGCATAAGTTTATGCAGCTGGTTTACAGCTGTTAAGTTAGAATGGGAGCAATATCCAGGTGTGGTGGTATGTGCCTGTAGTCCCAGCTACTCAGGACGCTGAGGCAGGAAGATCACTTGAGGCCAGGAGTTTGAGACCAGCCTGGGAGATAGAGTGACACCTCATTTAAAAAAAAAGAAAAACAAATAATTTGGAGGTGGGCTCCACCTTGTGGACTAGATGACAGTTGAGGCATACCTTAGAAAATAGGTTGGTAAAGGAGGACATTGGGGCAGACTGAGAGTCCAGGGATTAGCAGGAGTGCACTGGACTGTAGAAAAGACCCCATAAATTATGTTGTTTACCTAAAGTCCCACGGCAAGTCAGTGGTAAACCTGGGATGAGAAAGCACCTCAGTCCTGGCTCAGTGATCTTCCTGCTGGACTATTCCTACCTGCAGAGCTTAGCAGAGAGATTTAAGGAAGGAAAAGACAACTGATTCATTAGGCTGTCTGATTCATAAGTGGGGGTTTAAGGAACTCACAGGAGGTGGGACTCTGCAGTAGCGAGTGGCTTGAGCAAATCCTTACCTCACCAAGCCACAGCTAGAGCTACTTGGAAATCATCATATTGGTTCATAAAAATAGACAAATAGTAATTGGATGCCAAAGAACATGTAAAGTGAGCTTTCAATAATAAAACTGGCCAATATTGAGCACTTTCTATGTACCAGCCACAGACCTAAGCATTTTACATGTTTCCTACTTCATGCATGTACTCATTTAATCCTCACAACCCAACAAGGCAGGCTTCAGCTGTCCTTCCATTTTGCAGATAAGAAAACTGAGACAGGGACATTATGGTCACAATGATAAGTAGGACTGGAATTCAGACCCAGTCACTCTGGTTCCAGATGCCACTTTTTTTTTTTTTTTTTTTTTTTTTTTAGAAATAGTCTTGCTCTGTCACCCAGGCTGAAGCAGGAGAATTGCTAATCTTTCTAACTGCAGCCTCCACCTTCCAGGTTCAGGTGATTCTCCTGCCTCAGTCTCCCGAATAGCTGGGATTACAGGCACCTGCCACCATGCTCAGATAATTTTTGTATTTTTAGTAGAGAAGGGGGTTTCACCATGTTGGTCAGGCTGGTCTCAAACTCCTGCCCTCAGGTGATCTGCCTGCCTCTGCCTCCCAAAGTGCTGGGATATCACAGGCATGAGCCACCGCACCCAGCCAAAACAAAAAATTTCTTACAAGCATCCAAAAATTGAAAAATTAGTAAAAGGTAATCAGGCCAGCCAGGCACGGTGGCTCATGCCTGTAATCCCAGCACTTTGGGAGGCCAAGGCAGGCAGATCACGAGGTCAGGAGTTCCAGACCAGCCTGACCAACATGGTGAAACCCTGTCTTCACCATGTTACTG